GCCCTCCGCCTCGTCAACGGCTCCGGCGCCACAGTGTGGAACTCTGGCACGGCGGGCCGCGGCGCCACCTCAGCAACCCTTGAAGAGAGTGGCAATTTGGTAATTTGGAAGGGCACGGGTACCCTCTGGTCAAGCTTTGACCATCCCACCGATACCCTTTTGCCTTCTCAGAATTTCACTGTTGGTAAGTCTCTCACATCCCAAAGTTACTCTTTTAGTCTTCTTGCAAATGGGAATTTGATCCTAAAGTGGAACAATAGCATAGTGTATTGGAACCACCAGGGTTTCAATTCTTATGTGAATGCGAGTTTGGATTCCCCCGTGTTGGCGTTGTCATCGATTGGTTTCTTGCAGCTTTCTGATGTGAATTTGAGTACTCCTGTTGTTATTGCTTATAGTAGTGACTATGTTGAGGGGAACAGTGATGTGTTGAGGGTGTTGAAGTTGGATAATGATGGCAATTTGAGGATTTATAGCACTAATAAGGGTAGTGGAAGTTCTAATGTTAGATGGACTGCTATTCAGGATCAATGTGAGGTTTATGCTTACTGTGGGAACTATGGTGTGTGTAGTTACAATGATTCGAGCCCGGTTTGCGGGTGCCCTTCAGAGAATTTTGACATGGTTGATCGAAATGATGCTCGGAAAGGGTGCAGGAGGAAGGTCAGTCTCGACAGTTGTCAAGGGAGTGCGACTATGTTGACATTGGATAATGCTGTGATCTTGAGTTATGCCCCTGAGGCTGCTTCGCAATTGTTTTTCATAGGGATATCGGCATGTAGAGGGAATTGTCTTTCAAGTACTGGAGACTGTTATGCTTCTACTTCCTTGTCAGATGGATCGGGGCAATGTTTGCTAATATCAAAAGATTTTGTTAGTTTTTATCATAATCTTTCAATGCCTAGCATTTCATATGTCAAGGTTTGTCCGCCGCTGGCGCCGAATCCACTGCAGGCGTTGAATCCACCGCCCTCTTTGGGGGAGACTGGGATGGAAAAGAGGTCCAAGTTGCGTGCTTGGGTTGTGGTGGTTGTTGTTTTGGGTGCCATTTTGGGTTTGATTGCATTGCAAGGTTGTTTGTGGGTGTGGTTTTGTAGGAACAGACTGAGGTTTGGAGGGTTGTCTTCTCATGATACGCTTTTTGAGTATGCTTCTGGTGCGCCGATGCAGTTTTTGTACAAGGAGCTCCAAAAGGCAACAAAGGGGTTCAAGAAGAAGCTTGGAGCTGGGGGATTTGGTGCTGTGTATAGAGGCACTCTTGTTAACAAAACTGTTGTTGCTGTGAAGCAACTTGAGGGCATTGAGCAAGGTGAGAAGCAATTTAGGATGGAGGTTGCCACTATAGGTAGCACTCATCATCTCAATTTGGTGAGGCTTATTGGCTTTTGCTCAGAAGGGCGCCACCGGCTTCTAGTTTTTGAGTTTTTGAAAAATGTGTCTCTTGATTATTTTTCGTCAGAAATATATTATTATTATTATTATAATAGATGAAAAATATTTTATATAGTATGTATTTATTTTATTTAATTATTTTGAGGAAAAAAGAGAAGCAGGTCGGAAGAGAAGGAAGATGGGTTGAGTTAATGCAGCCCAATGAATTATTTTAAGAAAGAGGTTGGATAGAGTTAACCCTATCTACCTCATTTGCAGTCTGAATGGTTAGGAAAGAAAGAGAAGAGAAATAGAGAGCTTTAAGGAATAGTGCTCAAGAACAATCTCAAATTGCATCAAGAGTATTCTGATTAATGCAACCAGGTACGGGAGAAAAGGGATTATTTGTATGCAAAGTTACATGAGGGAATTGGGTAGAGGAGGCTAGGAATCCCGTAGGATTATGCGTAATTTTATAATTATTTCTGTTTGAGGAATTGATAATCCCATTAAACTTTGCATGTGTTGAGGATTAGGAATATGCAAATAATTTGTAAAAATGATGATCTGGAAGAGAGAATAAAATTGTAGAAAAGTGCTTGTGAGTTAGGTTTTAGAAAAATTGGGGATTTTACTATTTGAGTTAAAATTCTATAAAATTGATGATTCAATAAGGTTTTATATTGATTTATAAATGTGGTTGTTATATTATTTGGTAAAATTGATGATCTAGATGATAATTGGATTTATTGGGATGTGCTCTGTAAGTTAGGGTTCTTGTAGATTGATGACCACCCTTAATTATATGAATTGATGAGTAATTGAAAGATTTTTCCTTGTGGATATACCTAAGTATTTTTGTGGTATCTTTCTGTGTGATTAGAAAAATCAATTTTCGTTTGTTGGGTTAGAAATTAGACACTTGGGGCTATAATTTAGACTCTGGAATCGTGTAGAAATATTAAGAATTGATTGAGTTATGGGAGTTATAAGTTCAGTCTCCATTCTAGTGTGCCAAAGATTAAGTTTCATGTTTTCAACCATGCTAGGTGACCTTAAATACATTTCTGCGCTTTATTTTCTTCACAAATGTTGTAGCTTTGGGTGTTATTTTTTTAATGGCTTTGGAATCACTCAAAAAGGATGTCTAGAACTCTAGATATGGCTATTTTAGTGAATACGGGTCAAGCTGTCAGCGTAGATTATATCTGTTGCGGTTTTTGACATTTTCAGCTAAGTAGATGATTTTTTTTAGAATTTAATGTCTTCATAAGAGTTGTAGATGATCCTCTTATATTTCTTTTGACATAGGTTTGAGCTTATTGGGATGATTATAACTCTCTGTGTTATTTTCTTTGACAGTTGTCAAAGAGGGACGTATGTTCTTTTGATGTTCTAAGGTGTTATCATGTGAATTGAAAAGTTTTTTTTAAGAAGTATGATACTAGGTTGTAGAGTTAGTTCATATATGTATAATGATGAGATGTGGATTCATGGTGAATTGCTTGAGGGATATGTGAACCATTGTTTTGTGTGGACTTATCTATATTGTGTATGTGATGCGGAGATGAGTTATGGATTGTGGTGTGATGTCTTTGCACAAATGTATACATATTGTATCTACCGTTTTAGTATTGAATTGATAGCATGATATGGAGAATGGTATGTTATGGCTTAATTATTCAATTAATTATGATGTGAGTATGTTGGCATGAAATGAGATGTTGTGTTGAATGTGAATGTGATATGATTGTGGTTCCTCACACTTATGTCGGCGTGGCACGACCTTGGGCAAGAGATGCTACAGGGGTGGCATGAGCATGACATAACGTTAATTGCAAGATTTGTGATGATTATGAATGAAATGTAATTGTGGTTCCTCACACTTATGTCGGCATGGCACGACCTTGGGAAATAGATGCTACAAGGGTGGCGTGAGCATGACATAGTGTGGGATGTGTGAGACAATTATCATGTATGTCAACGTGGCACGACCTTGGGCAATAGATGCTACAGGGGTGGCGTGAGCATGGCATAGTGTTAATTGTAAGACTTATTTTTGGCAACTAGTACTTATGTTCGCGTGACACGACCTTGGGCATGAGATGCTACAGGGTTGGCGTGAGCTTAACATAGTACAAAATATATGATGTGATGAATTTGTGTGATCAAGAATTGTTATGTAAAGATGATGCATGATTGATAGAATTATGATATGTAGAAATGGTTGTAAATATTTCATTATGTAATGAGTTATGATGAGATTAAATTGTGGTGTGTTTGTATGTGCTTTACATATAGATGTTTTCTTTTCTCATAGTACAATTTGTGGATGTTTTAGGTGAGGAAGATCTGGCTGTGAGTGACATCTAGAATGCCAACAGTTGAATTGTGGGTGTGCTATGATATTGTGACATCAGGGCAGAGGATTTCTAGGACATGGATTGTTATATGCATTTGGAGTTATACTTATTCTTTTGAAAATAATTTATAAACTCTATGTTTTATTTTTGAACTTTTATTTTCAATTATTTTGGATATTAAAGAACATTTATGAAGGTTTTTATGTGGACCCTTTTACCAATGTTGAAAATTTTATTTCTTTATTTACATTATTACAATATATGTGTTGGAGGTTGTAAGGGTGTCACATTTAGTGGTATCAGAGCAGGTCGGTCTAATTGGCTGTGAGGTATGAGTCTGTTGTGCTTGATTGATAGATAATTGATGGAATGGATTGTTGATTAAGCATATTATTTGTATGGTGTAGTATATGATTGTGTTGATTGTTTTATTATTTGTTGTATAATTGTTTCTATTTTTGTGATCTGGAAGAGTGATGGTTGGGGGTAGAAATAATTGTGCAATCGATGATGCTTTACAAGCGATGGCTCAGACTCTTGGTACTATCAACCAATTACTAGAGATAGATTGGCTGAAGAGATTCCAGCAAAAGAATTCGCTAAGCTTTTGTGGGGGCTATAATTCTGACAGAGATGTTGGCTGGATTTTCAAGGTTGAAAAGATATTCCAAGCTTTGGGATGTCCTTTGGTGCAAAAGGTGACTTTGGCGGCCTTCATGCTTTCTGAAAGGTTGGAATTTTGTTGCAGGGTGCCTTGTAGAGGATGATAGTTGAGGGCACTCGTGTTAATTGTGGAGACGCCAACTAGTGGGCCAATTTCTACTTCTGATGTCTGTTTGAAGTGTCCTTTGCATAATGATGGTAGAAATTTCATAGTTGACTTAATCTATTTACCTTTGGGTCAACTAGATGTGGGGTATGGACTGGTTATCTTTCAATCATGTCCTTCTTAGTTGTCTTGATAAATCTATTAATTTTGGTGAATCTATTAAGAAGGTGAGTAAGGATTATTTGACTGTCAACCAAGTTAAGGTGTCTTCGCAAGGGGATGCCCAAGTTTACATGTTGTTAGCTTCTTTAAATTTTGAGAGTAATGTTTTAGTGAATGAGCTACCTATAGTATGTGACTTTTCTGATGCCTTATCAAATGATATGTCTAGTTTACCACCTAAAAGAAAGGTAGAGTTTTTCATAGACTTAGTACCAAGAACTGGACCTATTTCTACTACACCTTATAGGATGTCACCTGTAGAGTTAGTGGAACTTAAAAAGTAAATAAGGGACTTGTTAAAGAAGCGGTTTGTGAGACCTTGGGGAACACTTGTACCCTTAGTTAAGAAGAATGATGGTAGTATGAGATTATGTGTAGATTACCGCTAATTGAATAAGGTAACCATTAAGAATAAGTATCCATTTCCTAGGATAGATGACCTTATAGACCAATTGGTCCGTTCTTACGTGTTTAGTAAAATTGACTGTAGATCGGGGTACCATCATATTAGAGTTAAGGGTGAGGATGTACCCAAGATAGCATTTAGGACTCGATATGGACATTATGAGTATCTAGTAATGCCTTTTGGTGTGACGAATGCTCCAACAATTTTTATGGATTACATGAACCATATTTTTCATCTGTACTTGGATAAATTTGTAGTTGTCTTCATACATGACATACTAGTTTATTCCAAGACTAGAGATGAGCACGAGGGAACACTTAAATGTAATACTTCAAACTCTTAGGGAGAGACAACTTTATACTATGTTGTCTGAGTGTGATTTTTGTTGGATGGGATGAGTTTTCAAAAATCTTTTCTTTTTCGAATGTTTTAAGCAAAACATTGGTGGTGACTCCATGAACCATTTTTCAAAACCATTAATTAAGGATTAGTCTGGTTTTTGGGCATTCCCTAATTGATGAGATTTTTCAAAAAGGTAATCCAACCATTAGTCGTAAGATCTGAATTTGTCGGGTTACAATAGATGGCGACTCCACTGAGGATGTTTAAAAAGGATCAGATCCAAATAAATGATGAAGCTAGCGCAATAAGAATTAATAGCTTAAATATATATTCCCCTTTACCTTGTTTGTTTTATTGTTTGGCTTTGATAATTGTCTATATGCTTAAAATCTTACATGTGTTTGAATTAATAATTGTACACAAATCATAGCACACAACAGTCCCCCTACGCCTAGGGGCATGAGCGCGTAAACATAGGGAGTGGTTGACGTACGACCAGCCTAAGTATGACCTTAAAGCGTGCAAGCCTTATCGAAAATCACACTCTAGGTGATAACAAGTTACTCTAGTGAGATTAGAACCTTACTATAAAATGCACTTTCTTTGACAGGGACCACGACCCAGAATTGAACGTGCCACTTGTGAAGTTAGACATGAACCACACAGAAGGGGGGGTTGAATATGTGTGTGTGTAGGAAGGAATTTGAAACCATTTTCGCAAGAATAATTTTCTTCGTCCAATGCATTTTTAGAAACCAAACGGTTATGCAGAATTTTCTTAACACAAGGTCATTGCGTCTAAAAGATTTATCGTTTGCTGAAGGAAAATGTTTCATATAATAATAATGTTTAAAGTTCTTTCATTTTCCTTTTCAAGATAGTTTCTTTTAAAGATAAGCAGTAGATAAAACTTTTCAGTGTATTAAATATATATTAAACAATGTTTATGTCTGTGTCTGAAAAATGATTTCACTACGAGATTATAGGTGGACGAAGTTTTTCACAAAGATTTAACCAGTAATGAGGATATGCATCTGAGAAGTAGGAATTAGTAGTGCAAGTTATTTTATACTAGTTCATTCAGATCGAGCTACGTCCAGTCTCCTTAAACTGAAGGGTTCCACTAAATATGCAATTAAGTACATAGTATTATCGACCACTTCTGGCCCATTGACTTCACTCATCAATACTAGTATTTTCTTATCAGCCTCTTCAAGCTAGCAATGAGTATAATAGACCACCCAGGTCACGATCACTCTTGGACATGAGTATTCTAGACCACCCAGGTCAAGGTCACTCCTGGTCACGAGTATTCTCAACGACTCCTGGTTGGCTAGCTTCACTCACCAGCTCTAGTATTCTTAAACCACTTCCGAGTCACACAGAGGATTCCCTGAAGCGTCCAATATGGTTGACCCTTCCTCAAGCCAAGAGTACACTAGTTTGTAGTACCCCAAGGCGTGTGTAGTGGATGTTTGCAAAACATAGCGTATAACCCAGTTGATGGGATAGCGATTACAAAGCACACTGATTATTTTATCAATGATGTATGTTCGTGGCTTTGAGCGCAGACCAATTTTTTTCCTCTTCATGACGTCCTTATTGGTGGTGAGATGGACAGACTGAAGTAACTCCATTTTTCCCTCAGGGTTTGCTGCACCAGGATAAATAAGTGAATATTCATCAGTATTTGGAGGCATCCCTTCTAGAAGTAGTGGGTTTGTTGGTTCTTTGAGGGAGAATGATGGAAAGGAAAGAGGTCGTGGAGGCAAGATTTTCTGATCTATTTTGATGGTTGTCTTTCTCTTCCTCAGAGCGAGAGTATTTACAGAAGAAATTATTGAAGAATGTATAGAGATGTGGGAGGAAGATGCATCCGCTAGTATTCTAGTCTAAGCTGAAGGGATGAAGACTTCAGTCATAGGTTCAGTAGCAATCACCTTTTCATCCATTAGTGGTGAATCGTATGTTGACTTCTCTGGTACAACTACCTTTGATGCAAGCTTTATAACCCTTTTCTTCTTAGGGTAAGATGGTGCAACATGTGGTGAAGGAGCTCATTTCTTCAAAACCTTCCCAATAGGTTGGCTATCGTCAGCATCAGACGCATGATCTTCGTCTATCAGCATGATAATCTTCTTTCTTACTGGTTGACCAACATCATCCATTGACTCATCTTCCTTGGGAGATGAAGATTGTTGGCACTTTCCTGTTGAGCGCATCACAGCTTGTTCTCCTCAGATCTCCTCCTTTATTTTCAGGATCTTAGTGGGATCGGTGATTTTATAACTCAAAAACATCTTTCCAAGATTAGCTTTTCCAAAGGCAATGGAACCAAGTCTTTTGTTTCATCCCAAAGCCAGGATCCTCTTCTTCTCATCTTCTCCCAGAGGATTTTGTTTAGAAGTATGGTATGAACCACATACTCCTTGAAGTCTTTCAAACACTCTTTATAGTGCAGAAAGAAGATTTGAGGGAGGTTGAATGCAGTTCCAATCATCATCTGGAATAGACAGAATCTATGCATGTCTGAGATACTGTCCTTGCCTCCAATCTTGTGAAGGATAGATTTTTTCAACATTTGCTGGAAGACTTTAGCCTTGTTGTCGAGCTTGTTGTGACTCCAATCACCTTTCCTTCAAGATTTCCCTGAGAGGTATTCAATAAATCATAAAACATTTTTATTAGCCCAGGGAACATTACTTCCTTGATGTTAAAGTACCCGAGTATTCCACAATCTTCCAGGTTCTTATAAATGGGGATTCCCCAATCCTTCAGTTTCTGAACATTGAAGTGATGTTCCAGGTACATCACAGACTTCTCCTTCGTGGAAAAGGTGTGAGTGTAGTCAGTAAATTCTCGCATTTCCGTAGGAATGATAACATTTTCAGCATTTCCAACTTTTTCGGCCATTGTTGAGAATGAGCAGATTTTGTGAGCTTTAGGGTTTGAGTTTAGGTAAGAGAATCTCGGATTTGAGTGTGCAAAATGTTGAGCGTAGAGAGTAAGATAAGAAGGGAGATGAAAGTTTAAGAGTTTTTGAATTAGGAGAAATTTTTGGTTTTTTTTTTTGTTGACGTGGCACCCTTTTGCCTTCCTTATGCAGAGTGTCATGCCGCCCGTATTAAATTTGGGGTATAGGATGTGTTTTTTCAAACGAAGTTTGAAACGAAGGTTTGTTATTTATTTATTTATGAGTTTTGCTTCTTTAAATGTGGAGAATGTTTTTCTCTGACTTATCTTGACAGATTCTTTCGTCTAATAATGGCAGTCATTGATTACACTGTGTCAGACAAGGTTTTCAAACGCATGAAGCACTAGCTAGACGTTTCATCAATTGAGGTTTTTCAGATGCAATAATTTCTTAATGCACTCTGAGGGTTTTTCAATTGTACATCCTGTTATGTTTTGAATGAAATTGGATGGTAGACAAATAATAGTCTAGCATACACAACATAATCAACTATTGCTACAATTAGATCATGCTTTATTGAAATAAAAGAGTTGATACTTTCTTTACCTATTCCGACTGTCTAGTTTATCCTTTGTTCCTTCATGGATCGATATATCCCCTGCATTGTTAGATGCTCAACCCAAGGGGTCAAGCTCTGATACCAATTGAAGTTAGACATGAACCACATAGAAGGGGGGGTTGAATATGTGTGTGTGTGTGGGAAGGATTTTGAAACCATTTTCGCAAGAATAATGTTCTTCGTCCAATGCACTTTTAGATACCAGACGGTTATGCAGAATTTTCTTAACAACAGGTCATTGCGTCTAAAAGATTTATCGTCTACTAAAGGAAAATGTTTCATAAAACAATAATGATTAAAGTTCTTGCATTTTCCTTTTCAGGATAGCTTCTTTTAAAGATAAGCAGTAGATAAAACTTTTTAGTGTATTAAATATATATTAAACAAGGTTTGCGTCTGCGCCTGAAAAATGATTTCACTAAGAGATTCTGGGTGGACGAAGTTTTTCACAAAGATTTAACCAGTAATGAGGATATGCGTCTGAGAAGTAGGAAT